GGGGGGGGGGACCCCCCCCCAAAGGATGGGGCCCCCCCCCGGTGGGGGGGCCCCGGCCTGGGGGGGGGGGGGGGGGGGCTGAGACCAGGTGGGAGACTTCGTTCTCCCCTCCCTCCTGTGGATCAGAGACAGAGACTCACAGGGGGCAGAGCTGTGCAGCTGGGCAGGGATGGGGATCCCCTCCCCCATGATGCAGAGCCTCCCCCCATCTGGGCAGACCCCAGCTTGAGGGGCTGGGAAGGGGGACTCTGTTTCCCCCCATGTGGAGGGGACAGCAGGAGGTTGGGGGCATGCATTGGACAGCCAATGAAGGATGGCTGAGCTTGGGTGCCCTTAGTAATGTCTGGTACATTGGGAGGCAAGTTCTTTTGATAGATGTAATATTTTTTATTAGACCAACTGAGTAGTTGGAAAAAAGTTTTTTTAAGCCATCTGATGGAATCATCCTTCTTCAGGCATAGGGAGTCTCTGCTGTTCTGAGTCTCTTCTGTCTTTGGAGACTCAGAATAGTAGAGACTCCCTAAGCCTGAAGAAGGGTGATTGCGCCTGAAAGCTTGCAAAGAACTTTTTTCCGACTCTACTCAGCTGGTCTAATAAAAGATATCACATCTACCCAAAGAACCTTGCCTGCCTATGTTGTTAGACCAACACGGCTACAACCAAAAACCCTGGTACATTGGGAGACATGTGAGCGCACCTTCTGGTCTTGGCCAGTGCATGTATCTGTTTGTCTTCCTCAGCCAAAGAGTGAACATGAACCTCGTTCATTAACACTCCACACTATACAGCTCAGAGAACCCTGTGATGATTGGATCAATTCTCCCTTGGGCTTTTGACTGTCTGTATTTATCCTACTTGAAGCACAGATGGAATAGCATTCCATGACTTTTTCTGATGAGTAATTTTTCTGTCAGATGTTGAAAGAAATTTTCCTATGTACTGCTCCCTGCATAAGGCCCTACTGAATTCAAGACAAAAGTTGGGCATGGTATGGTTCCTTTAATTTTGTACATCTCCTTGCCCCACCCCTCCAACTGCTGACTGGTAGAGGGGCTCCACTTGCAGCTCACTCCTGATTAGCATGGAAGCAATAACTGCAGTTTTAAACATAGATTTAATAGATTTCTAGGGTCAGAAGAGACGTATTAGATCATCGAGTCTGACCCCATGCTCTGGGCAGGAAAGAGCGCTGGGGCCAAGTAACTGTTCAATATCTTCATCAGTGATTTGGACGAGGGGGTGCAAAGCACCCTGTTCAAGTTTGCTGATGACACTAAGATGTGGGGGGATGTGGGCACAATAGAGGGGAGCAACAGGCTACAGTTGGACCTAGATAGGTTACAAGGATGGGCAGAGGAGAACAGGATGGGGTTTAATATGGACAAGTGTAAGGTGATGCACCTGGGGAGGAACAATCGGCACCATACATACAGGCTGGGGAACTCCCCTCTTGTCAGCACGGAGGTGGAAAAGGATCTGGGAGTCATTATTGACTCCAAGATGAACATGAGTCGGCAATGTGGGGAGGCGGCTAGGAAGGCCAACTGCACCTTGTCGTGCATCCACAGATGCATCTCGAGCAGGTCCAAGGAGGTGATCCTCCCCCTCTATGCGGCACTGGTCAGGCCGCAGCTGGAGTACTGCGTCCAGTTCTGGGTGCCGCACTTTAAGAGGGATGTGGACAGCATGGAGAGGGTCCAGAGGAGGGCCACTCGTATGATCAAGGGACAGCAGGGTAGGTCCTATGAGGAAAGGTTGCGGGACCTGAACCTGTTCAGCCTTCAAAAGAGAAGGCTGAGGGGGGATCTTGTGGCCTGTTATAAACTGGTTAGGGGGGATCAGCAGGCGCTGGGGGAGTCCCTGTTCCCCCGAGCGCCGCAAGGAGTGACCAGGAACAATGGTCACAAGCTGGCGGAGGGAAGGTTTAAGTTGGACATCAGGAGGCGCTACTTCACGGTCAGGGCTGCTAGAGTCTGGAACCAGCTTCCAAGTGAGGTGGTGCAGGCTCCCACCCTGGGGGTTTTTAAGAGGAGGTTGGACGACCACCTTACTGGGGTCATTTGACCCCAGTGCTCTTCCTGCCATGGCAGGGGGTCAGACTAGATGATCTGCTCAGGTCCCTTCTGACCCTAGAAACTATGAAACTATGAAACTAGAACCAGGTGTTTGTCTAATCTTCTGAAGACCTCCAAGGTAGGGGAAAGCACCACTTCCCTTGGAAGCCCATTCCATATTTTGGCAATCCTCACTGTAAATAATATCTTCCTGATGTCCAATCTAAATATGCTGTCCTTCAGTTAATGGCCATTGTTTCTAGTAACCCCCAGGGGTGCCCTGGTAAACAGAGTATCCCCTATTATCTGCTGACCTCCCGATGAATTTGTAGACAGCCACAAGATCACCTCTCAGCCTTCTCTTGCAGAGGCTGAAGAGATTCAGGTCCCTCAATCTGTCTTCATAGGATTTTACATGCAGGCCCTCAGCCATACCTGTAGCCCTCCTGTAAACCCTTTCCAGGTTATCCACATACCTTTTGAAGTGCGATGCCCAAAACTGGATGCAGTACTCCAGCTGCTGCCTCACCAATGCCACATAGAGGGGAAGTATCACCTCCCTAGACCTGCTTGTGATGCACCTACTAATGCAGGAAAGCCTTACTTATTACTTCGTCACATTGGCAACTCGTTCTCTTTTGCATTGACTATGACTCCAAGATGTCTTTCTGCTGCTGTGCTACTTAGAATGGTACTTCCCAGTCTGTAGGTGTATTGGAGATTCCTTCACCCCAAGTGCAGCACTTTGCACTTATCTTCGTTAATTTGCATCTGAGTCTGATCCACCCATTTCCTCAGTCTATCCAAATCCACCTGAATTCTCTCCCTACCCCCTAGTCTGATTACTAAACCCCATAGTTTGGCGTCATCTGCAAATTTGGACGAAGTGCTTTCTACACCCTCATCCAAATCGCTGATGAAGATATTGAACAGTACTGGCCCAAGGACAGAGCCTTGGGGGAGACCACTGCCCACATCCCTCCAGGGGGACACCAACCCATCCACCACCACTCTCTGTGTTCATCCCATAAGCCAGTTTTCCACCCACCTGACCATGAAAAAATCCACGTCACAGCTACTTAGTTTACTTGTAAGAATTGGGTGCGACTCTGTCAAAAGCCTTTTTAAAATCCGAGTAAATAACATCTACCTCCACTCCTGCATCTAAGCACTTTGTGACCTGATCATAAAAAGAGACCAGGTTAGTCAGGCAGGATCTGCATGCTGTAAACCCATGCTGGTTGCCCCTTAACATTGTTTTACCTGCTGGCCACCTACAATTGTGATCCTTAATGATTTTTTCTAAGGTCTTGCCAAGAATAGAGGTGAGCCTAACCAGCCTATAATTATCCGGGTCCTCCTTCCTCCCCTTCTTGAAAATAGGGACCACGCTGGCCCTTTTCCAGTCGTTTGGGACCTGTCCTGAGTACCACAAGTGCTCAAACAGTTGTGTCAGTGGTTTCGCTATGACACCGGCCAATTCCTTTAGTACCCTTGGGTGAAGATCATTGGGGGCCTACCAACTTAAATATGTCCAACCCCTCCAAGTGCCCCTTCACTAGGTCAGTGCTAACCATTAGTGGATTGGGATCTCCCTCAAGCCAAACTAAAGTCTCATTGGGAGGTGTGTTTGTATTTGTGTCCAGGAACACAGATGCAAAGAAATTGTTTAAGAGCTCAGCTTTGTCCATCCTATTTGTTACGAGTTGCTCTAGTCCATCCCGTAGTGGCCCTATGTTACCCTTCTTCTTGCTCCCTATATACTTAAAGAAGGACTTTTTGTTACCCTTAATCTTTGTTGCCAGCCTGAATTCCATTTCTCCTTTGGCCTTCCTTACTGCTTCCCTGCAAGCGTGAGACAAGCAGGTATACTCCTCCTTGGTGGCTGTCCCCTGCTTCCACAGCCTCTAAGCCTCTCTTTTCCCCTGCAGGCTTTCCTGGATTTTCCTGTTTAGCCAAGAAGGTTTATTGACTCTTTTGCATCCTGTTATGTGTACTGGGATGGTACCCCTATGTTTCTGCTGGATCAGTCCCTTGAGGAACTCAGACCCTTCCTGGACTCCCAACTCACCAATGTTATTACCCTTCAGTCCCATTGTATATAATCTCCTGAGCTCATTGAAGTTGGCCTTCTGGAGTCTAGCACTTCTGCCCTACTAGTTGTCTCTCCCACCTTTTGCGGAATATTGAATCCTATCAATATAGGTGGTCACTATCTCCTAGATTACCTTGTACCTGCAGATCCCCCACCAAGTCCTTCCCATGTGGCCAGCACCAAGTCAAGTAAGGCATTTCCCCTAGTGGGGCTGCATACCTCCTGTCTTAGATCCAGGTCCTGGATGCAGGTTAGGAATGTACGTGAATGGGCAGGCCTGGCCTACTGCTCCTCCCAGCATATGTCCAGGTAATTTAGGGACATGGTGCTGTCTTTGTCTCCCTGCAGTCAGCAGCAGGCAGAGGGCCCACCGGGGCCCCTCAGCCAAATCAGTGGAAGAAGACAAAAATATTATCATATATAAAACCGCAGTTTTCACCTCCCTGTCAATCAGGAGCAGGGCACCTGCCCAATCAGTTGTGGAGGGTGGGGGGAGGGCGGGAAAGTGTGGGGGAAACTGCAAGTTTAAAGGGGCCACAGTATACCCCACTTCTGCCATGAATTCGGTAAGGCCTTATGAACGAGGCAAGGATTTTATTTTTGTATTTGTTTAAATATTATACTAGACTTGGCTGTTTGATATTTAAAAAAAAAAATTTAATGCAAAGTAATAGGGTAGGGTAATTATAGGGTAGTGTCCTGTTATCTTACCTGAAAATGTATAAAGCATCTGTAATACATTCGTCATTAGGGAGGGGAAAAAAACCTACTAGGTTTATTTAAGAATATCTCAGTGGTGGATGAATTTCTGGAGTGCAAAGTGTCAGGGTTACAAAGTCTTGTTAGCAGTATATTTGGAAAGTGCATGCCAAACATCAGAATAATAGGCTACACCTGCTATTGATTTAGCGACAACTGTGACTACTTAGAATTGATTCTGTGTTTTTATTAGACTAAATATTTTGAAAAAAATTCATTCAGGATGACCTAACTGTAACTAGGGATCATGTTCCCTGCAGAATTGTAATTTACAACATAACTAGAGAAGATGTAATTTTATAAGCATGTAGAAACTGAGGAATCTCTAAATAACTTATAAGCCGTTTGGAAACAAATAAAACTCACGCAGCTGTTAGAAGCCATGGTATAAGTTTGATGGCATGTCATAATTAATTTTGGGACTAGTCAAATTACAAGGCAAAACCTAAAATGTGTTTTAAGCTTTTGATTTGGTTATATTTGATAGAGAAATTTATGGCAGGGTTGTTTTTTTTTTTTTTTTTTTTTTTTTTTTTTTTTTTTTAACACTATCATAATATAGCCCTCTTAATTTTTTTACGTAATTGTCACTACAGACTGCACACTTGCTTAGTTTACATGATTGACAAGAAACACATGCAGGACTGGATTTTTGTTTTACTTACAAAACCTTTATTCATTTACATTCAGGCATACACATTTCAAAATATTACATCAATAATGATCATCCACAGTACATCCTGCCTACTAACAGTAAATTACTAACAGATGAATTTTGAAAGAATGGCCAATGCATTCTTTTACTCCTGTTAAATGGCAAGATTTCTGGCATGTGGACTATGACTAGGTTGCAACATTTCCAAAGAAACAAAGCGTTTAGTTGATTTTTAAGTGCCAAGCCTTTGTTAGCAAATCATGACTATGTTTAGGGAAAAAAAAAAACAATGTGAAAAACTGATAGGCCAAGGAGTCCCAGTGGCATCTCTGCCCTTCACCACTGATTGGCCAAAAGGGCTGCTGTTCATATGGCCCTGCCCCCACTACTGATTGGTGGAAAGGGGTGGGGCTGCACGACAGGCAGCCCTTTCAGCCAATCAGTGGCAGAGAGGGGAGGGGGCAGCTGTCATCTTGGCTGCTTCCTTGGGTGCTGGTGGCTTCTCTTCCCCGGCAGGCTGCTACAGTGGCCATAAGCCTATTATTTTCAGTACATTTTTTCCCCCCAGTGATTCTAAAGATTCTCTGTAAACACGCAAGTTCCGCATTTTTCCATAGCAAACTGATTTCTAGAATCCCTGCTGATTAGTAGCCAAGTTATCCATTACGTATGGCTCTGTTATGTGTAGTGCCTCACAGTCTTTGTTTATCTTCACAATTCCCTTGTGGCAAGGGGGATCCAGGGTCAGGGGTGGTGCAGTGGTACAGTTGCACCCCCCTTTGGTTCCTGATCCACCCCAACTTTAAAAACAACAGTCTGGGAGGAGCAGTGGTATTTCTATTAAATGAAGTGCTGAGGGAGTCAATTAACATCATGGATCATTATATTCTATTTGATCCCTGCTAACTTCTCTTCATTCCTCTAATATTAATGTTTTTCTCTTCCTTTTAATGGTTGTGATATTCCACTATTCATAGTAGCCTTTCTTCTGCAACTTTGCTTTCTGTTAGCCATTTCTGGTAATGTCCCTCAGTTCACAGTGCTGTTTCACAGACTTCTTATCTCTAGCTAAAAAAATTAATTTAGGTGTCGTAATATTAAATTAGGTATGGAAATGACTGACAGTGAAGTATTGGAGTCACTTTAAAGACACTTAAGACTAGATTTTGTTTTATGAATTGGAGTAAGAGGTGTATATTCGGCCTGTGTGAATAGTAAAGTATTCGATTCAGATTTGACTGATTTGGAGGACAGTGATTAGATTTAGAGATTCGGATCACTGTCCCAAATCAATTTGGCTGAATAGGCTTCTGAAGATTCAGCGCTGATTCGGAGAGATTGGGTGATTCAGATTGGCCTGGGAGAGTCAGGCACAGCCGGGCAGCTGTAGGTTCTTCCGTGGCTCCTCTGGCTGTGCCTGCCTCTCCCCAGGTGGGAGCCATGGGAGAAGACCCCATGGCTGCCTTGCCTGGCCCCATCCCTCACCCGGCCCCAGCCTAGTCCCAGCACTTAAGAAAAAAAAAGCCCCGCACTCACTGGCTGCAGCAGCAGTGATTGGGCCTCTGGGTGCTCATGGCAGAGCCCCTCTGTGCAGCGCATCACAGTGTGGGGCAGCAGGAATTGCCCCTCTGCCTGGCAGTTGAGCAGCAGCTGCCCCACGGTACAGGAGCAGTGCCACTTGGCAGGGTGCTGTGTGCTGTCTGGAAGCTGGGGCCACTGGGGCTGAGCAGTGCCAGGCTCTGGCTGACATATGGAGCCTCCCCAGCTCCCAGACAGCACACAGTGCCATGCGTAGCCACGCTGCCTCCCACAGCCCCACGCTGAATGGGGAGGCTCTGCCATGAGCCCTCGCAAGTAAGTCCCAAATGCCGCTGTTGCAGACAGTAAGTATGGGGCTTCTTTTTTTTTTTAAAGCTCTGTGACTGCAGCAGTGGTGATTGGGGCCTCTGGGCCCTTGTGGCAGTCCCCCTGCACAGCAAAGGGCAGAGAGGGGCAGCAGGGATTGCCCCCCCCCCCGCGCTTGGCACCCATGTAGCAGCAGTTGCATTGTGCAGGTGCAGCGTGGCTCAGCAGGGTGCTGTGCGCTGTCTGGGAGCTGGGGCTGCTGGGGCTGAGTGGTGTCAGGCTCTGGCTGACAGGTGGAGTTGCTCCAGCTCCCACACAGTGTGTGGCACCCTGCTGAGCCACACTGTACCTGCATCATGGGGCAGCTCCTCTGCGGGTGCTAAGTGTGGGGGAGATCCCTGCTGCCCCCAACTGTCCCACATTGCAGAAGGGGGGGTGCGGGTCTCTGTCACCAGCCCTCAGAGGCCCCTATCGCTGCTGCCAGTGCCGGGCCTTTTTATTTATTTATTTTTTTATGTACCAGGAGGCTGAGCCAGGTAGGGGATGGGACTGGGCAAGGCAGCTGTGGGGGCTTCTCCCATGGCTCCTCCAGCTGTGCCTGCCTCTGCCTGGCCCAGGTGGTGGAGGGCGGTGGTGTGATGCAGGTGCAACTCGCTCCAGGTGGCAGCCCGCATCAGTGCTGGGAGTGGGGGCTGTGTCTTGCTGCCACTTGCCCCCCTTCTGCCTGGAGCGAGCTGTGCCGCATCCCATTCCCCACCCCAGCTAGGCGAACAGCAGCAGGGCAGAGCCCCTGCTCCGAGTGTTCCTGCACCTGCATCCTGTGCTCCCCCGCCCGCCTCCCTCCCTGAGTAACGCCCCCCCACCCTAGCTGGGCAGCTTGTCCCAGCCCCAATCCCTTCCTCCCCC